TTAATTTTTTTATATAACTTAATCGTTAAAAGTAAATACACGGGAGACAGCCATTGGGATCGAGAATCCAAGATTCGGGAAAAAAAAGGGGGTTGTGGGCGTGTTGAGAATTTTAGAAAAACTAAAAATGAAAGTGAATCAAATTAGAGGAACTGAGATTGAGCAATGCAAGTTTTCCACCCGAAACTCCAATATGAAATTTCTAAACATTGTCAGGCGAGATTTCTCCCTCAGGATAATCTTTCCTCACGGCCAATTTTGGAGCTACAGTTAACTCAAATTCTACTGGGTTCATTCAACCCCAATGATTAGATGATGAAGATGGTAGAACCTATAAATAATAAATAATAAAATAATGAAATTAAAAACTAAACAATATTAAAAAATAATGTAAAATTCTAAAAATACTCTAAAAACTACATCACGGTGTCATTTATAATAATATAAATTACATATTAAATGTCCGTTTAATTTACCTTATCTATAGAATTTTTTGACACCACATAGCAGTGTCAAATAATCTCTACATTATATTAGGTTTAGGATATATAGGGATTATTAGTTATAGTTTAGCTAGACTTGAATGATTTAGGGCATAAAGTTAGTGAGTGAAGTATAGGTTTTACTATGTTTAGGGTTTACATTTATATGGAGTTTAGTTTTTTAAATAAAAAATAAAATCTTATCTAGTAGCAAATTTACAACAAAATCCACCTCACAATGAGTGTAAGAAAATATTTGAAGCAACCAGTATGATTTGTGAGGAAGCAAACCATGGGGTACAGAGTATATGTTGCTCCACTGGGCTTATGCTTCCCCTCATCTACTCAAATGTTGTAAAAATGTTTTAAACTTAAAAAAAGTGTTATACAGAGTACACAATTTAAATCTTTAAAAGAGGGTGAATTATTGATATTAGGACTATCCTCACATCTAACAATTTTTGTTTTGTAATGCAATATTATTTAAACTGTAAAATATATAACTTTTTAAAATTTTAAGTTTTAAACTTCATATAATAAAAAAAATAAAAAAATAAAATATCTTAATATATTAAATGTCAAAATCGTACGTAAAACTTATGACCACATAAATTTCCAAAATATACTCAAATACAGCAGGTTAAAGGCCCCAATTAAAAATGGGCCATATGGGCCACCTTCTTTTCAATTTTACACAACCTTTTTTCAGACTTAATTCAATTATTAATCTATTAATTATCAATTTAATTTCATTTTAATTTAAAAAGTTGATTTTTTTCTCTAAATAGTCTATAAACTTTGGAGAATATTTCAAAATAGTTTACCACACAAAATTTTTGTTAGATTTAACAAAAAAGAACCATCCTTTAAATTTTAAAAAAATGACTATAATCATAATAAAATATGATGAGTCAAGAAATATTTTATAAAGATAAATTAATTAGAATTTGTAATAAATTTGAACAACTAATTCAATTCAAATAGAAAAACTTAATAAGTTTAAAACAAGAAAATTCAAAAGTAAGTCTATTTTACAAGATAAATTATATACAGTCCGTCTTGTAAAATTATTTAAATGTCCTTTTAAAAAATATAAAAATAAAATTAAGAGAATTTAAATAATTTTACAAGATAAACTATATATAATCGACCTTATAAAACAATTTTTTGAAGAACACATTTAGCAAGATAAAAATAAAAATTATTTTTACAATGAGTATAAATTTAAGAACTAAAAGATCAAAAGATATATAATTAGAGGACTAAATATTTTCTCATAGAATAAGAAGACTTCCATTAGAGATAATGGAATAGATGAAATTGAAATAAATATGAAAGATAATAGATAAAATTAAAAGAATTTAAAGATAATAAATAAACTAAAAAAAATATAAAAGTTAATAGACTAAGCAAAAAAACAAACCCTTAAAAGTTCTCCCTTCTTCCAAAACCAACTATCCCCCTTTCGATCAATTTCCACGTGAGCACATGTTGCCTAGTTCACATGTAAAATTGGGCGAGTTAAAAAGAGACATAACAATAATAGTTAAAATATATAAAAAAATTAATAAACTATTTTATTATATTTATCTTAAAAAATTTTAATTATATGAAAGTTAAATACTTATTTATAATAAATTAATATATATTTAAGTTATTAATGCATATTAATCTCTAAAAAAAATTAAAGTTTTAACTTACATTTAAAAATTAAAATCTCAATTCAAAATTTATAAATTTATTTTATTAAATATTGATATATAAATTTAAATATCAATTATATAGTATAATATAATCTATTTTTAAATTTAAATATCTTTTAATATAGAAAAAATTTTAAATTTTTAATTAAATTTTAACTAAATAAAACGATTTTATTTAAAATTAAAATTTGAATTTATTTTAAAAATTAAGACTAATATACATTTTTTTATATTTAAAATTACTTTTATTTTTTTTTTTGTAAACATTTTGAAACAACTTTTGTATTCATTAATTAAAAATTAATTTCAACTATAAATCAACTTTATTATATTTATTTATTTATTTTTATCTTAACCTTATTATATTTATTAATTACTAAAAAAGTGTGATACATATTTAAAGCTTACTATATACTTGAAGGTATTAAATTTTATACTCAATAAATTAGTTAAATATACTCAAACAATCTGAAATTAACATATATAATACATATTAAGAGAATATTAAATCCAACTTGTGATTTTTCAAAATATTTATGAGGATTATTTTCTTTTTAATTAAGACTCCAATTTTTTTTTAAAATACTCAATCAATTTTTCAAAAATATGCAGCATTCGCTTATATTTACTCCTAACAAAAAAACCTTCGAAATTCAATTGAATTCTGTAGTTTCACTAACCATTCCAAGTATAAGAAGAATTCATTTACAAAAAATGAAAAGAATTACAAGCATAAATCTGCTTAAATGAAATGAATTCTATTTTCATTTAAACGACACTCAAAATTTTCAAAACATGAAAATTCAATTATAAATGAATTCATATGAATTCCCATATTAATTTATTTAGAAGTGAAATAAATTCTAGTTCATTCAAATACCAAACAACCCGTTAAACCACATACACTCGAAATTTTAAACATATGCTCATTTGGTAATAAATTCACTTATAATTCCTTTGAAAATAGAATGAATTCTATGTCAATTGAATACCGAACACATTGTTAGCAGGATAAAACTTCACATTGTAAGTAATTTGGCTGGAACAGTTTCATATGTACAGGATAACACAGACAGCGAGAAAATTTCAGAGTTTCCTGCAACTACTTTCCTAAAACATGTTAGCATGTAATTTCTGAAAACAAATTCTATTGAAGGAACCAGACCTATATTCCAAAACCCAACTCACTACTCTATGGTATATAGCGCATACCTTAGCTAATTCCGTATTAATCTTCTTGTCAGCAGAATTTAGATAAAAAGTTCTTACCAGAATTCCTACTTGGGCCTTTTCCCACGCTGCCGCTTAAAAGACTCTCCCCTAGGACCATATGACTTAGAAAAGCCTGATCGCATGCCAACTGGTGTGTGGCCCTGGGATGGAGGCTGATTAGGGCTGGTACCAACTGAACCAGCTGAAGCATGTAGATCATGGCTTACAACTTGCGTCCTGCTTGATGCATTCTTGGGTGCAGTTACCTTAGTTTTCTGGCATTGTACAGGGGAGTCCTGGCATGCACCAGGGCTCATAAGTGATCTAAGGAAGCCACTTGGATTCTGAAACGTACCTCTCCTCCCTGAAACTGATTTGTCAATTTCAGTAGCTAGTACCATTGATGTCAGTGATTCCACAGATTCTGCTGGATACAAGACACCCGATAGCCCATCATAAGATAGAAGGCAGGCCACTGCATAAACAGAGGCCCCAAGAACTTGAGGAAGAACTTGGTGTGGATGTGTTACCTCAAAGAAAGAACAGAGAAAGATTAGAATAGTTGAAACCAAAAGGTTTCAAGATGCACAGGAGCCGCATATGTTCAATATTTAATTAAAAGCAAAGGGGAAAGAGAAAAAGGAATATAGAAGGTGCATTTTAGTGCATATTGCAGCATTAATACCAAAGAAGGAAAAAAAAAAAATTGAGATGCCTACTCTGAATAAGATTGCCGCAGACAACCGCTCTCTCAAACAGTAGATTTGAGCAACATCAAGGGCTGTTGATCCAAAAGATAGCCACCGATCCACAACCACTGTAATGGAATTGTCAGGAGAAGACATGATCTTCTCTCCTTGTTGCGCACCTGACTTGTTAACCATCTCCATGACATCTTCTTCACTATCATCGTCATCCGTACCATCATCATCATCACTTCCATCATCACCATTGTCATCACTGTTGTCATTATCATTAGCAGGAGCCACAGCAATCTCTGTCGCAAGCAGTAACAAAGGGAGTGGCCCAACAACACTACAGTTCCTTATGTGCATACCTCCATCACCACGTGTAATCTCATCATAAATGATCAAAGGGCAATCATCAGTATTCTTAAATGATAATTTAAAATTAATTGACTGAGAGTGCAACCTAACTTTAGCACCGCTGGTTGTCTCTATAAGAAATCGTCTTGCACCTTTTGAAGGTGGGTGCAACCTCCCCACATTTGGATACAGACCAGCCACAAGGACGGCATGGAGTATACCAGGGTCATGTGCATTCAGACTACAATTAGAGACATCATCTGGAATGAATCCATTCCTAATTAATTCGGTTTGGAGCTGTTTACGCATGCCAAGCAGCATATTCATGGTACTTGATGAGACAAAATACTGAGAACAGAATCGTGCTTCTTGACCCCTTTGTTTCGCATTCTTCCAGCACTCAAAAGCAGCTATGACTGCCAGCTGATCACTTTGCCCACCATACAATGATGCAAGCTCATATTTAGCAGCAGCAGCCTTCTTTTTTTCATTTGGTAGCATAGGAAGAGTGAATGGATCCCTAAAGTCAGAGGCACATGCTACTGTTAAAGCTGGGTCAAGGCAGTTCATCAATATGGCAAAGAAAAGCATCTTGCTTGTTAATGGATGAACAGGAAGATGACCTAACTTCTCCCCAAGTTCTGTCAGTTCCTCATCAAGAGAAAAAGCCCCAATATCTTGAAGAATAGTGACTGCATTACAAATAGTTTCAGAAACTGGAGGGTCCAACATTTTTTTCAAGAATTCCTCTACTTTGCAAGTTGTATCAAGCAACTTCACCTATCAAAGACAGAACCAAAAATAATTTGCAAGTGTTGCACTAGTATTTGATAAGTAAAACATTGAAATGAAAAAAAAAAAAAAAAAAAGGGTTGAACCCTAACTTATGCGCTAATCTCATTTTCAAGAGCTGCAAAGGATCATGAAGTAGAATAAAGGAAAAGAAATTCATGATTTGAAAACCTTTTACTTTACCAATTATTCCATCATCTACAATAAGTGAATGATTTAGAAGTGTTGTAGAGAAATAAAATTTACCTGCAAGCAGAGCTCCTCAATTGGCATTCTCTTGATTTCAGGAACCTGGAAATCTGGCAAAGAAGCCGCTCTAAGTTTTGAATAAAGGTGATAACAAATTCCAGGCTGACATCGCCCGGCACGCCCTTCTCGCTGCCTGGCATTTGCTTTGGAGACCCATGAAGACTGAAGAGTTGATACATTATTATAAGGATCATAACTTTTTTCTTTCATTCGGCCACTATCTATAACATAGACAACATCATCAATTGTAATAGAACTTTCAGCAATATTGGTTGAAAGAACAACTTTGCGGCAGCCCACAGGTGGGCGTTTAAAGACCTTCTTTTGTTCAGCAGATGGAACCATTGAATGGAGAGAAATGATAACAAATTTGGAAGAATCTTTGAAGAAAGGATTAGCCAGCAATCTCTCTCGAGTTCTATTTATATCCTCCCACCCTGGAAGGAAAACAAGGATGGCTCCATCATTTGAATCAGTACATATTTTCCTTATCAACTGCTCTATAAGAACAACATCAATAATTTCTGGGTCAACTGTTGCTAAATATTTATCAAGCAATTGTTGTTGTTCCATCGAATCAGAACAGGTGCTTTGCATGTGCTTTTTTATTATTTCAGCAGCCTCTTCTTGTTTTCCCTGCTCCGCCCACTGCAAAGCACTTTTTCCATCCTTGGTCTGCAAATGGCAGTCTGCACCAAAAGAGAGGAGCATGCAAGCATCACCTACTCTACCCTTTCCAGCAAATACCATTAATGGTGTTAACCCAGTCAAAGAATGCTGGTAATTATACACCTTCGGATTTCCTTCACCAGAAACCAAATCGAGAAGTGGATCAAACTCATCATTTTTCCAAGCCAAAATAATAGCCTCATCTAAAGCAATTTTATCTTCCTCTGTTAGTTCAAAGTCTTCACTTGAGACACTTAAAGTGCCAGAACTAAGGTGATTATTTTCTGCAGATTTAAGGATAGAAAGTACATCCTCCAAAAAGAAAGTTTTGACCTGAATATTTAAAAAAAAAAAAAAAAAAAAAAAAAAAATAATATATAAACCAGCTTAAGCTAACGTAGCAATTGACATAATGAGACAGAGTTTTACAGGATAAGTGAACCCTGGGACTCGGATAATTGGACAACCA